GCTTCTCCTTTTTTAAGAAGCAGAACATTTCTCTCTTCCTATAACCATATATAACCATATATGGGAAGCGTGTGTGTGGAAAAACAAGGACGAAGGAGCGGGGGACAGGCTTCATGAGACAGAGTCCATAACAACAATCACATGCATCATGTATAAACCAGAGGCTAATGTCGTAAACAAGATGGAGGAATTATATCTTGGTAAAGAGTCAGCAGTTAAAGGAAAATGATCAATTCCTTAATATCTCAATGCTTAAAGAAGCAGAATAATGAATTGATAAGCTATTCTCCACTGCAACATAGAAATAGGCCAGGTTATTATAACAAGAAGTTAAGGAAAATAATTTAATACTATAAATGTCAAGGAAACTCTGGGTCCCCCCCCACCCCCATTTCTTAATTTCCAAATATTTCCCTTTCTTCAAATAACTATGTTTAACTGTGTACATGCCACAAAATCATGTTATACTAACCAACAGTAATCAATAAGCAACTGACTTAAACTGAAAGCAGGGTTTTCATTCATGATTTATGTCTATAAAATACCATTAACACCCATTGATGTTTATATTTATATCTATCTCTCTATCTATCTCTAACTAACTAACTATAAACAGTAACCTCAAGGTTGAAACTCTGCAATGTGCTATACATTAATATAACCCAGTATCAAGTTCAGAAACTCAATTAGTTCAAAACATGGCAGCCAGAGTGATTATGGGAACTTCTAGGAGTGAACATATTGCAATCATACAGAAGTTGCTCCACTGGTTGCCAATTAGTTTCTAAGCTAAGAACACTTAGGTCCTCTGGCGGCACCTACTCCAACCAGTCAGAACTTGAGTGACAACCATCACCCAGATTTTTCCTTGGCTGTCCTGAGAAGACTGTGGAATGACCTGCTGGAGGAGATTCGACCGCTAAATGAGCTTTCAGCATTTAACTAAAGACCTATCTTTTGCAACAGGCCTACTCAGACAATTTTAAACCATGAGTTTTAATTTTACATTCTATTGTATTGTATTTTAATATTTATACCATGTATTTTAATATATGTATTTATGGAAATGTGTTTTAACATATGCATCTTATTGTATTTTATGGTGATGTGTTTTAATTGTGTTGCACCCACCTCAATCATGGTAGCAAATAAAATGCATTTATTTATTTATTACAATGTTACAGCAGTTAGCAAACATTAATTGTTTTGACTTTTCGTTTTCAACTCACATATTTGCAATTTGCAATTCAAAGAGAATCAGGGTGATCAATTATCAAATCTACTATGAAAATGTAATCTGCTAACAGCTGCAAAACAATGCAATGTGAAAGACAAAGTTGCAGAAAGAGTTCTCTACTGTATTATGTACAAAAGTAACTTCATATGTCACCCAGCCAATCTCCCCCAAAACCGGCAGCAGGATTCAATGTGTAGCAGAATTGTCTGGGGAAGGTCGATGTGAGAATCACCAGTTCCCAAACATAAATTCTGTAGAGCTGCTGATAAATCTACCAAAAAACAAACAAACAAAAAACCCAGACAATTGCAGCATGCAAAATATCCTGGGATCTAACACTGTTACTTAAGTACTGTGTCTGAGAATTAACAAATACTGTATATTTGTTACTATATATACTCAAGTATAACTGTATATATTCAAATATAAGCCAACCCAGATATATGCTGAAGCACCTATTTTTACTACAAAAAACTGGGAAAACTTATTGTCTCGAACATACGCAGATGGTGGGATATGCAGCAACTACTGGTCAATTTCAAAGTAAAAATAGACGCCAATAAAATTACATTAATTGAGGCATCAGTAGGTTAACCGTTTCTGAAAATTTACCCTATTTCAAAAACAGTAAACTAGCTCTGCAAGTGGAAAAGGCAGTCAACAAAAATAATATGGTATCAACAATAACTTTTTAATAATAATAGTAGTAGTAGGAGTAGGAGTAAACTTTAAGTAGTAAACTGCTTAAGGTGCAAAAGACAAAGAGTGAATACCGTAGAAACACAATCGAGAGCAGAAGAGAAAACTAGCGAAAGAAGGCTCTCCATGGACAGATCCTGGAAAAAATTGAGAGCCAAATTGACAAAGAAAAAACATGGATGTGTCCCACAGATGGAACTYTGAAAAAGGAGACAGAGGGCCTGATTCTGGCAGGCCAAGAACAAGCCATTAGAACAAATGCCATCAAATCCAGAATTGAAAAGTCGGTGACAGATCCCAAATGTAGACTCTGCAAGGAAGCAGATGAAACAATAGATCACATCCTCAGCTGCTGCAAGAAGATCATGCAGACTACAAGCAGAGGCATAACACCGGTGCTCGGATGATTMATTGGAACTTGTGCCACAAATACCATCTGCTTGCGACAAAGAACTGGTGGGATCACAAGCCTGAAAAAGTTACAGAAAATGAACATGTCAAAATACTCTGGGACTTCCAAATKCAGATAGACAGAGTTTTGGATCACAATACTCCTGACCTCACRATCGTGTTAAAAAACAAAGTATGGAGTGTCAGTGTTGCAATCCCCGGCGACAGCAGGACTGAAAAGAAACAACTGGAAAAGCTTACACGATATGAGGATTTAAAGATTGAACTGCAAAGACTCTGGCACAAGCCAGTAAAGGTGGTCCCMGTGGTAATCGGCACACTGGGTGCAGTGCCTAAAGACCTTGGCCTGCACTTAAAAACAATCAACGCTACAAAATTACCATCTGCCAGCTGCCGAAGGCCACCTTATTGGGATCTGCACACATTATTCGCACACATTATACATCACACAGTCCTTTTTTTTATTTTTTAAAGATTTTATTTATAATTTGGTCCAACAAAATGTATAAGCATACATTCTTCTCTCTTTTTACAGAATCTTAGACAAAAGAGTATGTCATATTATATACAATCTAACAGTAAATAAACATCAAAAACATCTTTAATCATATTTCTTATCATTATTTTAAAATTTCCATTACAACTTATACTACATATAACTCGTCACACACCTTTTATCCGCTTATACATATTGTATTTCTTTATAATTATTTTTATTATACAATTTTTCCCCTCTTCCCCTTACCCTTAGTTTGTGCCCCCTTCACCAGGACCAACCAACTCATGTTGTTTCACCATTCCAAAATATCATTGTTTCTCTTGCTGGCTTATACCCCTTTCCCTCATTAAACACATTTCCCCATATTTTCCAAAAGTCTGTTTGTTTACATATTCCCCTTTTAATTTTAATATTGCTAGTTAGCCTATCATTAATCGCTATATTCCAAATTTCCCTATACCATTCTTCTAATTGAATTTCTTTTTTTTTCTTTCCAGTTTTTTGCTATTAACAATTTAGCTGCTGTTATCAAATTAGAAACCATTTCTTTCTCCTCTTGTAAGGGAATTATAATATCATGTATAAGTAATAATACTAATTTTGGTGTAATCTCAGTCTCTATTTTTATTATTGCTCTTATTTCTTTGAATATGCTTTCCCAAAACTTTTGTATAATATTACATGACCACCACATATGAAAGTACGTCCCTATTTCCTAACAACCTCTCCAGCACTGATTTGAGTATTTTTTATCAATCTGATTTAATCTAGTCCTACACACTTGTGAAATGTCAGACGTGTGATCCAATACAACAGCCAGCAGAGTGATCTTGTCTGCTGTGGACTCATCTTGTTGTGTTTCTAATAATAATAATAATCATCATCATCTACTAATAGTAACTACTTCAGACAGAAAGAGTTTTGGATCACAATACTCCTGACCTCACGATCAAAGTATCCCTGACAGATGGCCATCCACCCTCAATAATAATAATAATAATAATAATAATAATAATAATAATAATAATAATAATAGAATTGGAAGAGACCCTTTGGGGCATCTAGTACAACCCCCTTCCACCTTCACACAGCAAAAGCATAATCAAAGCACCCCAGTCAGATGGCCATTCAGCCTCAAGAAGGAAGAGGAGGAGGAGGAGGAGGGGAGGAGGAGGAGGAGGGGGGAGGGGGAGGTGTCCTCTTCTCTGAAACAGCCTGCTTTCTCTAAATACATGCTAAAATTGTATATATGATTGAAAGGATCTTCAAATATTTATTCTACTCTGATTTCTCATGAAAAATGCATTTCTCAAACCTTTTGCAAAAATTTGAAGATTTATATCTTCAGTTCTTTGCAAATTTGGGTGCTACCTTACAAATTTGTGTCTTGACAGTTCATATTCCACAAAATGGTGTTGTATGCTGGCATTCCTGAATATTATTATATGTATTATTCTGCCCTGGGAGAGGCAGCACAGAGACTGTAGAGATGTGTAACCCCAGCCATTTCCATCGCATCTCAAGGGCTGTCCCCAACCCTACCACTGAATCTGAAAGGATGGTTACAAAAATTAATTTTTGTTATTAATACTAGATGCATTTCTAGAAGGTATTATCAGGCCAATAGTAATGATAGACACCTCCTAGAAATGCATCTAGTCTTAATGAAGTATGAACATTCCAACTGCCTTGTTTTCTAGTAAAAACAGAGATCTTGTTAACGTTATTTTCAAGCTAATGTGAATAATACTTCCCATAATACTGTCTTGGAAATAGTGTGTTAACTGCACCCCACCCTAGGTTTCTGTTTTCATGAAATTTAGTCTCTGCTGCTGCTGTGGCAGGTTTGGCAGTGATTTGCCCAACCCTGCCATAGACAAAAGGCTATGTATTATTCTTATCCCTATGATAGCTACAGATTCATTAAATTGTCAAAAAGCAGACATCTTGGTTATAGGAACCACAAAAAATCTTAAAGCACTTTATAACCAAACTATTTACTGCTCTCGGTAAAGTTTTGTGGACTAGAACCCACTTAGGTCTGAAAAACTGCAATCATTATGGAAAAACAACGTGAATGTGAAGTATGTGGTGTATTTCCTACCATGTTACAGCAGAAAATATTTTTGTAGCTGTGCTTCAAAGGCAACTTACCTCACCAAATGCACCTCTACCAATGACTTTTATGATTTCAAAGTCATCTCGATGAAGCTGCATTTCCTTCACCAACTGTGTAAATGGTTTTGCTGTTGAGAACAAAAGAAAACCACAAATTAAAATCCATATCATGCAGATATATTCACAAATTTTACTAGACTCTTGCCCTGACTTATTTATATCAGTGATTGATAACAGTGTTTCTTAAACTGTGCTCTTCCATGTGTTTTTGACTTCAGCTCCCAGAAATCCCAGTCAGCTTACCAGCTGTTAAGAATTGTGGGAGCTGAAGTCCAAAACATCCGGGGGAGCACAGTTGGAGAAACGCTGATCTATAGCATGGTATGACAGCACATGTGAGTGCATTCACAGAACCATCATATCAACCATTTTGTTTGTAATGTTATTGTCACCAAAACATCCTTCCGTTAGGATCTGTAACTGGAAATATCAGAGCAAAATCTAGCCTCCTCAGTAGCATCAATTCAGTGTTTCCATAAGAATTCCAAGTACACAATTTGTTAGTAATTCAAGGGAAAGCCTGGCTTATCATCTTCTGTTTTCTTTTCTTTCCTTTTTTTTTTTGGGGGGGGGGGGTGTGGGGGTTCAGATAAAAGAAAATGTAGAATGGAAACCAGTGAACTGAATACTATTGTATTTTGTTTTTAACTGCATCATTGCGTGTTGTTAATGTTATTGCTTGTTTTTTTTTTTTGCTGTGTTATTGTTGTTGTTGTTTTATTTGTTGTGAACTGCTGTGCGTCGCCTTCAGGCTGAGAACAGCGGTATATAAGTAAAGTAAGTAAATAAATAATAATAAATAAATTTATTGTTGTATTTTGGGCTTGGCCTCGTGTAAGCCACACCGAGTCCTTCGGGAGATGGTAGAGGGGTACAAATAAAGGATGATGATGATGATGATGATGATGATGATGATGATGATTATTATTACTTTAGTCAAATCAGAAATGAGAAAAAGTGTATTAAATTCTAATAAAGTGTAAAAGAAAGTGCATAGGTAAAAAATCTGTTTAAACAAAGCCCAAATAAAGCATGTTCCTTCCCAAAACACAACATATGTTTCAGATCAAGTCTGTCATGTCTACCTCACTCATAATTCTCCCTCACACACATACAGCTAAGAGTAAGTTCAATGTAAGGTGAGAGCCATTCTTGGAAGTAGCCTAGATGTCATCAACCAGCCAATCATACTTTTGTTTGTCCTATCGAAGTCTTCTTTGTAGGCTACCAACTAAAGAACAGTCATCGCCGCACAAAAAAGAGAACAAGCCTTATTCACAGACAACTACTGAGATCAATATTCAAAAGTAAACTGGAACATAAAATACATTCTTACTGAGCAAAGATACCAGCCCTTTTCTCAAAAATATACATAAACCTGCTGCTTCTATAAAATTGTTATCTGGCAATACTGAGCACTAAGAAGTCATATGATTATATTAAGACCCAACAATGCATTTCCCTTACCTAGTCTGTCTACATTATAAGCTCCTAGTGAAGCTGAAAGGTACAAATGCATAGTTCAAAATTATACCAGCTGGAAATGCAAAACATTCTCTCCCTTCCTTGACTAGGTGCCCAGATAGGAAATTCTCTACCCGGAGTAGGAAGTGGGGAAGACTACATTACAGACAGGTTGAATAAACAGTAACAAACTCATTACACTGAAGATCAAATATACTGTTGCTAGTGTGAGGAAACATTTATAAGACTAGGTTTTCCCGTGAATCAGTTGTTCTTGGGCAATTTAATTGTTCAAGAAGGAAAGCAAAAGGTCTTGTCCTTGATTGTTCACCATCTAGTAGTAGAGGCGGGAGGGGGTAATTGCCTCCCTGAACTCCCCACATATCCTTAGAACCTGTTTTTAGAGTTTAGGGAATAATCTGGAGCAAGTCTCTGGAAAACAAGTTAGGCTGGAAGGGAAGTGGATGGAAGTCCTATCATGTTATCAGTTTCCTACAAGGGCCTCACTGAATATCTCACTTAATAAAAACTGAGTGTAGAGTCACGTTTTCTTCTATTATATGTACTGAGATTCAATAGATAGAATGCCATCTATCTTATGACTAGCAAGCAAATACAGACTCATTGCATTCATCCACACTTACAATCTGCTACATGCAGACTGTATCCTAAGCCTTCACTTTTCTTAGTCTTCAAGGGCACAACTCTGCTTTCCTTTGAGAAACTAGTGTGGGAATACATTCACATTTTTACTGAGAAAACTATTTTGTAAGGAAATTCAATACATTGGAGACTGATAAGAAAGTTGACTAGATACTGAGAAAGGGGATTAATTAATACTGAAAATGCCACCTAAAGTTACAAGGTATTTCAAGAAGAAAATATATTATACTTCAAAATCCAAAGAACAGAATGCTGCTTTATGCTTTCATTTCTACAGTTATTCCTTCAAACCAATCTGAACCTCCTCAAATGATTAGCCAAGTCTCTTGTTTACATCATATTTCAGTGTACCGTCTTCTTTAAGAATGCAGAACAGAAGCACCCACATTGTGCAAGATTAGATATTTAGGTATAGCCTAATAGGTCTTGCTGTTTCCTCAGCACATCACGACTTACCAAAATATTTGTTTCATGACAGAACAGATAATACTTTCCTCATGTACACAGTTCAAAGACTCAAAAATCTAAAAGAGATTCATCTAATCATATGAAGACAAACATTATCTTGCAAACATTGACCATATATAAATTAACTCTATGTAGCTCTATATATGTGCAGAATGAGGTGGTAGGGTCCTGAAGGGGTAACAGCAATAAACTACAAGCAAGATGTAATGTTTCTGGATTCTTTGCAACATGAATTATGGAAGGAAGGGGAGGGAAAGTGAGCCCCTTAACCCAAAACTGCACCACCAAAACTACTAAATAGTTTAGCCTCTTCACTCAGGAGTGTATCCATCAGGCAGAAGAAATATTAAGACAGCTATTGTCGTGGAGCCCTTCCCAATCTCCCCTTATGAACCATCTAGGAGCTTAAGATCATCTGGGGGGGGGGGGCTGCTCTCGTTACCGCCTTCGTCACAAGTACGTTTGGTGGAGATGAGAGACAGAGCCTTCACGGTGGTGGCCCCTCAGCTATGAAATGCCCTCCCTATAGATATTAGATCGGCCACCTCCCTTTTAACACTCCAGAAAAAAGTCAAGACATGGCTTTTTGAACAAGCATTTCCAAATGCAGAGTAATTGACATAGGAAAATGAGATCAGACAACGTTTTTAACAAGGAGACACTATGAATTTATATTTTATTGATTTGTTTAGTTTTTATTATATGTTATGTTTTTAATTTTATTTATGATATTGTAAGAATTGAATTTTGCCGTTAATTGCCTTGATACAGCAAATAAATAAATAAATAATACTAAAGTCACCCCATTTGCTGCCAATTAGTTTCTAGGCAAAATACAATGTGTTGTTTTTGGCCTTTAAAGCCCTACAGGGTTTGGGTCCAGGTTTCCTACAGGATCGCCTTCTCCCATACAATCTGTCCCAAACACTTAGGTCCTCTGGAGGAACGCTACTCCAGCCAGCCAGAACCAACTGGCAACCATCACCCAGAAGACCTTTTCATTGGTTACCCCATCTGAAGATCTATATCTTCCAGAAGGCCTACCAACTCAGTTTTAATCACCAATTTTAAATTCGCATCTTATGTTTTAATCTTCTTTGTTCAGTGTATTTTAACATATATTTAATAAAAATAGGTTTTAATATGTGTATTTTATACAATGTTTAATATTATGTGTTTCACCTACGGTATGTTGTAACCTGCCTCGAGCCTCAAGGAGAGGCGAGTAAGAAGTAAAATAATAATAATAGTAGAAAAAATAATCTACTTTACGAGCATATATTTAGGGCTTGCAGTAAGAATGGTGAACCTCTGCATCCAGTCTGAAGTGATGACGTTCATTCTAACTCTTGAAGATTGTGCCATCTCATTCTGTTGCACCTGTAGGTCACGATGACAAGGTTAAGCATTAGGCTTATTAAATGATGTAGGAAAAATTGAGATGGCGCCACTCAACAATGGAGGTGAGCCAACCTGTCACAACCTGTCCATTTCTTAAAGGACAGCTTGCCTTGCTACATGAAGCTAAATTAGATGGCACATAGCTTTGGAATTTCTGCTTGAAACCTCAATACTGACAAGTGAAGAAAAACAACATTTTTCAAAAGAATTTCTGTTAGACCTCTTGTTCCACAGTAAAAGCCAATTTCTGTTGTTGATCGACTGTATGTAATTAATACATAAGAGACATTACTGTATACATAGTTGTCGTAGATTACCCTCAAACTACTCCCTTTCAGATTCCTTCCTCAGTATGGAAGAATTCAATCATGGTTGATGAGACTGAGGTGCAAAAGTGTATGCATTTTCTCTCTCTCTCTGATCTCAGTTTCGGCATGGTTCAACCAGCATCAACTCAAGATATAATAAAAGGTACATTTTCTAGGCTCAATTTCAAATCACTAAATTTTAGTTCACTTGATCACAAACTTCTGCCACAAGCATCTGCCATACCTTTACTGATTTTTTAAATAAAGCATCTGCAAGTGATTGACTTATTTTTGCATCCAATTTTAGCTTTATTATAACGTTTCTGGAGTGAAAATCAGCACTACACGGAAATTTTCACACACTATTTACACAAACCAACACATAGCATTCAATGTGTCATGTTACTCAATGGCCTGGATACAAGTGCAAGAAAAACAAATTCCTCTGTGTCTATCATACGACAATAGTTTTAATTCTTACTGTTTTGACAAGGGTGAAATGAGAGCATATTGAGAAAGTATGCTATGAGGAAATGTTAAGAAAATTAAATCTGAACAAAAAGATCTTTACCTCTCTTTTAAAGTCTCATTTCCAAAAGAGAGAGAAAAATATGTTTATGATTTCTTGGCCTTTTCATGTATTTGCTAGTCACAGCAAGAAAAGTGATTCCTTTTGACCAACTGCATGCTTGGAAATAACAAATAAATAGCAGGCTATATAAACCGATCACATTACATTATAGATTCTGCTGAAGGATTCTTCA